GCTTCAACAACTGGATGCTTCTCAACGACATCATGCTGTTGAAGGTAAGAGCCCACCATGAAAATGTGGCGAAAAGTTATGTTTTATTACAAATAACTCGATCTCAATTCATAATCTGAGCTGTAGCATAAGAACCCAAAGTAGCCCTACTGTGTGTCACATCATAATGTCATGATTATTAGTGGCCCCCGTCTGAACATTTTCTAGATGTGCCCCTGATCCAACGAGCAGTAAAGTAAAACGCTGCTTTCAGTTGTTGCCGTTTTAAGACGACCAACTGAATGTTTTGTTCTCTTTGGATCAGTTGGATCGTCCAGCTGTCATCAATGACAAGGTGGAGCCAATCTCTCTGCCAGATGCAAGCACTCCCCCTTTGCCAAACTTTTCTCCGTGCACCGTCAGCGGCTGGGGTGTGACGTGGATGTATGGCAACACTCTTTCCTCTGAACTGATGGCTGTAGATGTGAGTTACTACAGTGACTGCTGGAGTTTCTACTACTTTGGGGTCACAAGCAACAACATCTGTGCTGGTTCTCCTACAGGAAGTAAAGATTCTTGTCAGGTGAGACACGGTGTCTAAAGGAGAGAGGTTTTTTCTTTAGGCTTTCACAATCACACAATTCTAAAATAAGTCCAATTTACATCTGCAGCAGGCAACACAATGAGTTTTTTTAATTTTTCATCTGCATCTATGATATTTTTAAGACAACAGGGGAAAATGTGAACATGCTGAAGATCCTTTACTTAAAAATAACTGCCTGCTTTTTATACTTTAAATGCACTCACTGATAAAATAAATAAATTAAACAGCCTCAAGGAACTGTTTGATCTGAATGTGATTTGGTGAACATACAGGCCAGGTAATGGTGTCTCAGGAGCTTGCATAGTGGGCATCAGTGGGCATAACTGGTGGCATCATGAGTGGAACGTCGGGTGTTATCAGGCAGTTACCCGAGTGTCCAACAGTGAGTGGTGATCAAAAGACACAGGACACATCTGTGGACACATCTACAAGCACTTAGAGTTTGATGGCGGTTGCACGTATGTTTTCATGAGGCCTCTACTGTGCACTTGCTCTGCATGTGGGGTGTACAGATGTCAGCATGGCCCAGTGTTAAAACCAACGGGTACGTGAAGGAACCCACAAACGTGAAAGTTCAGGTTGCTCGAAACAGCCCACATCCAGGGAGGATTGTTGTATTGTGTGCCAAACGTTACAGAACCCCACGATACCTGCTTCTGCCATGAGGACTGCGGCGTTGAACTGTTGGACAACACCCGGTGTCATCTTACACCGCGTCTCGAGAGCTGGCATCAACTGGACTATGGTTTACAGACGCATGCAGTGGCTGTCATTAAACCAGAAACAGCTGCATTTGGGCTGGAGTCACAAACAAGCAGTGGTGGAGAAAGTACTCAGACACTGTGCTTTAGTAAAAGTACAAATAAACAGACAAAAATGTACTCTAGTAAAAGTAGAAGTACCGCATTAACGTTTAACGCATTAACGTACTTGTACTTAGTTACATCCCACCACTGCAAACAAGAGGCATGGACTGACGATGAGTGGTGTCAGCTTGAATCTCTTCTTCTGCTTGAACAAAAAGGACAATTGTGTGCACAAGCTGTACTGTCGAGAAGACAGGACGTGTCCCACAGTGATCACAGCATCGGGGTGTGTGGACCACCTCAGACTGGGGGGACGTCAGTGACATCCACACCGCTCCTGAGACAGCACCGAGGGGCAGTCTTTCACGTAACTCCTGTTCATATGGAACACCAAAATTAATAAGCTATAAAACACAATTGTGAAATA